GGACTTTTTTCCCATTGCCGGCAATGGGGTAGGTGCGGTTTCAGCATGATGCATCCAGCCCGTGGGCTGGCAGTTTGACCTGCCTGATATAGGGTAATGGGTACCTGGGTATTGAAATATCTGCAAGAAAACAACTAAGCTCAGAGAGCACCAAGGACTTCACAAGAATTAAGTCCCAATTTCAAGAAGAAAAGTATTTGTCCTTTCAATAAAAAAGTGATGATCATATAACCTTTATTTATGTCTGATTTGAGCAAATGTGTACAATGATGCAAAAAGGCAGATTCCCAGTTATCCCATTGCAAGATAGACTCTGCATTTGCAAACCAGGTGAAATAGAACACCTGCCACATTACACATTAGAATGCCGGTTGTAAGCTAAGTATAGGGATCATTAATTATTTTTGTTCCTTGATGATATGAGGAATTGGAATGTTAAAAGTACACTGAATTTCCTCTTAAAGGTACCAACTCGATTGTGACACAACAGATTGCTTTCTTTGCAGTTAGGCCAGCCAGGTTAAAGGGAAAAGTGAATCTGCCCAACATGACAAATTACGTAATTCCTGTATGTTCTAAGAATTTGATTTGGAGCAAGTTTTTATACTATTTAGTTAACTATTTTAAAGAATTAAGTCATAGGTTAAAATATTTCAGACCTATTTATTTTGTAATTTATTAGTTTTGGAACATTTAATAATCTTCAGTTTTGAAATGTATGAGTATATTACCCAGAAATTGTCTGGAGATTTATTCAGTAAACAATTTGCTTGGTGGCCAGTGTTTTATCCATTTGTCCTGTGTAGTGGCTATTATAGTCATTAAACTGTTATGGTAGATGATTTCTTTTGATTCTTTTCTGCTAACCAGATCTTTCAGTTTGCTTAAGTTCCTTTTTTTTGGGGGGGGGGGAGGAATTTCATTGGTTTGTCTGCTACAGTGACCAGTACAAAAACTTTTTAATAGTCCATTGGTTATCTCAGAGATGCTTTTGATATATGGGAAAGTTATCCTTTTCATAGGTTGTGTGCTAGGTCTTTTTAAATAAAGTTGTCTCAGTATCCATTGCATCGGAAAAGGTTGTATATAAATAGTCTGCTTTCTTTGGAGTACTGCAGTGTGTTTTTGCTTGACCGAATAATGTTCTTATGCAGCTCTTTTTGTGTTGTTTTGGTAGTGAAACACTTGGTTACAATGCACTATTTTTCAATATATTTGGGGTTGTTGCCTGCCATGGTTTCCTCTGCTGATGACAATATCCAGGAAGAATAGTTCTTGTTGTTTTCTTCTCTTACAAAAGTTATTCCTATGAAGGCAAAAGTCCCCCCCCCCAAAAAAAGAGGAAACTAGCTAGAAAGAGTAAGTAGCTGTTGATGATAACCTTGGCTACTTCAGACCCAAATCTAACTTGGGAGCAAGAATCCAAGCATAGAAATAGCAATAGCAAGCTCTCCTCTTATCTGCAGAAAGGTAAGCTTCAGCTGTTGCGGTAGGTGATGTTTCCACCTACTCTTCCTATTGCTGATTTCTTTAATTATTCCATTTTGTAAATTAGAGGATGAATCACCACAGTATGTTTGGTGATTTGATTGTTGCCCAAGGCATATCAGATCACTCTGAACAAAAAACTAATGTAATGACCATTTACAACTAATTCAGGTCATGTGCAAAATCACCTCTCAGTTCAGAATTAAACACAATAAAAGGATCCAAAGTTTACAATTTGACTCCAAACTCTCATATATTTGTTCAGAACTAGGTCCCACATGAATCCAATAAAATGTTAATGTTAAGCTTGCAGTCCTCTCTATAAGCTTATCTATAAATGAAGCCATTGGAATTCGAGAGTGCTTCTGTGCAAATGGGTCGTAGAATAGCATTCAAAGTGTTTTAGGAATGTGCAATTTTCACAGTATTTTCTTTACGCTTGATTCATGTTCTCACTGTGATTCAAATGTAATTAAAAATTCAGATGCGCAAAGTTGTAAATCTGTAATTTGCTCAGACTAAATTGGCAAAAGGTGTTTAAACAATGAAGTTGGCTGGTGATAAACAGCAACCTAATGTTTCCTACTTTGACTTTTTTTCAGAACCAATAGGGAAATTAAATTAATTCCTCTAGTTGAAGGTTTAATAATTCTAATGAGCTGCCTTTAAAATCAATTTATATTTATATCAGCTTTGAAAAAAAAATATCACTAATGTAAGATTAGTAAGATTCTTCTACAGCTTTAATTTAGCCTTGCTTATGTTTTGAATTGTTCACCCATCAATCAAACTACTAAAATGGAGTCTCATTTGTATATTAATTATAAAAGCTCACAGGTTTAGTGATATCAGGTTCTGTTTTGCCTTTGTAAGAAGTTAAAGTTATGGCATTTCTTATAAATTGGATTGAACAGGACTCTGTAGGATTAAACAACTTTTCAAGAATTAAGTAGGTATAGTCTTTGCAATTATTTTGCAACCATGATTGCTCAAGAGACTAATTAGGGATTGAAAATTAAGTTTTATGCTTTTGTCTTGTTGCCAGCAAAAGTGTTTCAGACTATTGACCTCTAGATTCTATCATGTTAAATAAACAGTGAACTGAGAATGTTCTCTATAAGCTATTACCAGGCATTTCCCACTTCTAATTCATTTTAATTATGTTTACTTTTAGAAGATTTTAAATTTGATAGTAATGGAAAAATTCTGGGAGATTTGTTTTATAGGCAAGTCTCACTGGTTTGCAGATAGTACATTAACAAGACAAAGAATACCAAGTTCAAGCCCCTTGAAATAAGGATATTCAGAATATCTTAAAAATTATAAAATATGATAATTAGTAAATCATTTTGGAGAGATGATGTAAGGAAATTTTTCATTTTCCTAGAGCTCTACTAGTGTTATATGTCAGAAACACTGAAAGTATTTGCATTTGGACACATAAACTATAATTCTGAAATCATAAATGAATAATTATCGCTTTACTAAATATGCAGTATGCAGCATACTTACTTGGAAATTCTATTGTATTCAGGAGAGCTTATTCCCTAGAGTTTCTAATTTGGAGACATATATTTTCTTACTTTCTTGTTGACTAGAAACACACACAAATGCACACCCACAAACATTATTGCAAGTGCCTTGAGTAGAATTCTATAACTTGGAAAAGTATGACAGTCTTCAGCAGTGGTGGGATTCATATATGTGAACAACCGGTTCTCTGTGTGGATGCCGCTTCCGGAACTCCATTCTGGGCCTGGGCAACAAAAAATTAGCTACAGGTTCTGCCGAAGTGGTACATACCGGCTGAATCCCACCACTGGGCTTCAGGGGGGAAAAATGCATATACTGTCAATTTCTTTTTTAGTTTTCTCTCTACTCTATTATGAGTGTTTGAGAGCTTATAAAACATCACCGGTGTACTAATGTTGACCATACATAACTAACAAGTTTCACTATTTGTTCATTTTTATAGTACTATTTATACAATGCTTAGAAAATCCTTTATTTAGAATATTTATTTTTGCCTCAATCACCTTTAAATGAGCGTGCAGATAAAAATGATCCTAAATGCACTAGGTAATCTTTTATTGTGTTAAGCCTAGCAATAAAGAAAGAAATTTATATAAGTCAACTACAACTCTTTCACCCAAAACTGAGAGTGAAAAATATGTTCCACCAATCTATAGTTCAATATGCCAAAAACAGATCAACTTGAAGGAATGACATCCAGAGACTCTTCCTGCTTTCATCGGCTTGTGTTGCAATATTGCAAAACCAGTGTGTACTCTGAGCCACACCCAACCCCCCACCAGATGATCCTGAACTGAAGACATTCCATTACTTTCCCCCTAACTAGTTTATACAAAGCATTTTGGTTTCAGTTATTTAATAGTGGCTCATTCTGTATTAAAAAAAAAATCTAATGTTAGTAGTACCAGAGCAAAGAAATGACTTCTCTTTCTGCTGTTATAACCATGATGAAAAAAACTGAACTCTGAATTAAGATCTGAATAAATATGACCATGTGGGATTTTAGGTATTATCAGAAATGCAGCATACATTCATCAAAAATTCAGGTTTGTGGAATGAAGCTAGTATAAAAACTGTGACACAATATTGAGGCGGTGCTGGGTGTAACTATACTATGAGCATATGGAGGGTATCCTCAAATATACCTTCCTATTTTCTGCTAGTTACATAGTTCATCATATGCTGAATCTAGCCCTCGCTGTTACTGTTTTTCCAGAAAATAATCCACAGAAGCATAATACTATCCCGGTGTTAAAACAAACACAGCTAACTCAGCTTAGGAACTTCTACTTGGCAAATGAAACAGTTTCACAAAAGAAGAATAGGACATGTGCGTAAATAATACCGGTATATAAGGCCCAGATTTTCCACTTACTTCTCTATTTGTGTTCTTCCTGTATAAAGATGGAATACAATTAGTGTAACTTCAGGATAAATAACATATATGGAATTATATATCCACAAGTTCTCTGCTTTTTAAAAAAAATACACGTGAAAGAGTTGTTTTCTTTTTAATTTACAGATTAATTTGATCTTTTTTTAAAAAAAAGAAGGAATGAAAAAGTGAACAAACAAGTGAAAGGAGAAAAAGAATATTTTACACAGAGATATAATACAGTATCAGTGAGTGTACAAAAGGATTGTTGAGATTGTACAGATAGTGCTCAGTATATCATTGAAAATAGTAATAAACAAAGCACAAAGAATTTGAATCTCCTAGCTAAGTCAAAATCTCCACTATTTTTCATTTTTTTAGAAAAGGAAAAACTATTGAAACATTAGAAATACTAGTTTCTAACTTCATGTTCATCTTTTGTTGAAAGAACTTAATGCACAGCCTTCAGCTAACTAGTGTACACAAATGTAAAGATTAACAATTTTGCAAAGAAATGGAAAAAAAACTATATAATAGTGGGATAATTTTTTGTTAAGCAAAAAAAAGTATGAAACTGTAATAACATTTTCTTTTGGCTGTACAGGTAAGCACATTAGACTGGATACGAGCTGAAAAAACCTATAACCTCTGTGAGGTTCTATTTAAAATTCACAAGGTAGGTAAGTTATGAATAATAAAACATTCAATATAGAAGATTATGTTAATTATTTACTGAATTAAACCTAGTCAGAATAAATTTAGCCAATATTAGCAGTAAATTGTTGTGGTTTTGTATAATGCAAAAGTGACATTGCCCTTTTCTATCGCTTTCATATGGTAGTTTTATCCACAGCTTAATCCTAGAAAAACGTTTCATGAAAAATTTCTCACTGTTGATGGTATTTCTGGGCAAAAGGGTCTCATGTAAACTGAAGAACTGACAGAATAGTTGCCAATCAGAATAAATAGGGTAGAGTTTCCAATAGAAAAGACAGAACATTTTCTGAATTGCCTCATTGGTAACCCATGTGATAATATTGATCATTTAAACATCACAGGATCTATGGATTGCTTTGAATTTTACATTTACATAACTGTTTTTAGTTTTAATTTGGATACTTATTTTGTTCAAATCATGCATATATGTAATGTGTTACCATTAAAAACAAACCTAGAGTAGGGATCTTTTTGGCACTGGACTTAAATTAACTTCATAAAGTAATATGTAGAAATGCCATGCTGATAAGAAATGGGGGGAAATTAGGAATGTGTAAAATGTTTCAAGTGTGAAATGCTTTAAATGTATAATTCTCCATTTTGATTTCAAAACTGCTTTTTCTGATCTTATTGAAAGTGAAAACTGATGAAAATAGTATTTTAAGCTCAAAACACCAAAAAAAGTTCAAACATTTCTGGAAAGTTCGTAAGAACTTCTTATGATAAAGCCAGAACAGCTTTTAAAATTGGAACACAGCATTTTGAATTGGAACATTTCAAATAAAGTGTTTTGTAAAGCATTTAAATACTGTAATTCAAAATCCATATCAAGGCCACCAATTTATGCAATAATTGCAAACTGAGTTTCCAAAAGCTTTTCATTGAACATGATTATGAAAATTCCAGGATAGAAGGAGGAAAATCAACAATTATTTTGTTCTTCTTTAGATGAATAGAACTTAATAATACAGTACTACAATTAATATCACCTAACTTGCATGACAGACTTTTTAAATAAATTATTTAAGATTGTAAAACACTAAAACAGTTAATATCACCAATACATCTGCTCTTCCATTCTGTTATTTTTTCTGGGTTTCTTTAACCACTTAGCTAGATGAAAACCTTCTGGAAACTTAAAAATTACAAAAATTCTGTAACCTGTTTGCTAGTATAGATTTTAGATTTATAAAGGGAGAAATGAAAGATTAAACTTTATACTCAGAATATTAGCAATTCTTCTTCTAAACTGCTTCCCCATGAATGCTTCAGAGGCCATTAGTAGATCAGTTGACCTCTTTTTAAAAATATACATAATTTTCCATATTGTTTCATGCTTCCTGACTGCCTACGTATTTGGCAAAGTTAATAACAACATAATAAAAGAAAATTCTAAACTGGATGTTATTTTGGTGAGTGAAAAAAATCGAAATAAATTGCTCAGCTTTCAGTACTTTGTGTATTTGACATTTTAATAAATGAATACTGAATTGTTAGTCTTCATGAATACATTAACTGAAATACAAAAGTGTCAGTGTGCAACTTTAGCCTCTGTTCCGTTAACATTTCAGTATAAATGATAATGAAAGAAACTTAAAGCAAATCAATTAAGTTGGGGTAAATGTGGTTTTCAAGAAAGATTAAGGTTTCCCCATTACAAATTCAAAGATTCTATTTACTCTTTTAAGCTGTTTTCTGTTCTGAGTAAGAAGCTGATCTGTCCTCCGCAAACCAACTTTTGATTGAATTCCTGGTGGACCCTGAATATCTCCAACTGCTCCTCCCCCCTCCAGCCCTTTGCAGACAGTTATAGAGGCTCTTTAGCTGTGGAATTTCTCATTGGCAGTTCAGCAATATATAATATGATCTCCACTTCTCTACCAGTCATGAAATAGCAGTGCACTAAATCTCTGAGAATCTGTCCTCCCCATAATTCTTCTGCTATTGACTGCTAGAGGTGAAGGCTCCTTCAAGTGATGGTTGACTTTGGTGTCTTCATGGATACATTCAAACAGCTTTCTAGGTAACCGTACAAAAGTTGTTGAATTGCTTTTTTTTTCTGAGATTTTTTTTCACTTCTTAGTCTAGCTCAGAGGTCCCCAACCTTTTGGGCACTAGGGACCGCTTCCGTGGAGATAAGTTTTTACATGGACCAGAGGGTGTGTGGTTTTGTGTGCTGCCTGCATCTCACAGATGGGGTTTTGCTTGTTTGTGCGGACTGGTTGCTGGCATGCCACGGCTCGGTACTGGTCCACCGACCAGGGGTTGAGGATCCCTGGTCTAGCTGACATCTCTGTTAGTCTTGCATCCATCTATAAGCAGTTTCTAACTCAGCCAATTGATGCCACCTATTCTACTAAATCCATTGGTGATTTTTCTTTATTAAATTGGCATATCTTATTGTTAGTACCTTCATATGACTATTCCATGGCTAATGGTTCTTTCCCCTGCCCCATGACTCTCTCCCAAAATAATAATTTGAAGCCCTCCCATGTTCAAATTAGAACATATTCCAATCCTTAATGTTTAATATTACAGTATACAGTATTTAGTATTATTCAGAAACATGTATACAGGGGCTAAAATACATCTGTAGAACAAACAACACTGCAAATATATCTTTCCAAATATATTCTAATCAATGAGTATCATGAGGGAGAAATTATGGCCTAGGGCCACATAATTTTGCTGAATGTATTAATTTGAGTGGCCCCCAATGTAGGCAGTGGTGAGGAATGTTGGAAACTAGTTCATTTCCAGAGTACCATAATAGATTCTTCACTGCATCATTAATTTACTAGTGTCTTAAAACCAGTGAATAGTAAAAGTCGTTTTAAGTCTAAATGAATGTACTGAGATCTCTGCTATTAGGGTTCTCTGCTCATTATCACATAGTGTTAAGCTTAATTCTGACTATCTTTATCATTAAGGGTCATCAAGATTAGTCAACTTGTAATATTTATTTCAGCTCTACTTATAATTTTTCATAAATCTTTCTTTTCCATTATTTTTAAGGCCTTGGCCTTAAGGTAGCATACGTATGCTTCATGAAATGGGGCTTGGAAATAGGAATGAGTCTCTTTTCTGTCCTGTTTCCAAAAGCATGGCACTTTAAAACTGAAGAAGTGGAAATACTGAAAATATGGCTTGAAGTAATTTGGAGGGTGATTTGTTCTTGGTTTTTGAAATCAAACCTAGTGTTTCAAGTTGGATAAAGTCCTGTCATAACAAGTGAAAAGTTCCAAGTCTGAGTTCATTTTCAAAACCATTTCACATCTACAAGTAGCATCTAATTTGAAAAATGCGAGACTGGGATATAGAAAATGAACAATTTCTCCTCCAGCTTGGCAAGCACCTTACTTAACTTTTTCTCAGTGCCAAGTCACACACTATCGAAATCTGATCTGGTGAAATGTGGATTGAACAATATTAGCCCAAAGAGAGACATACACACTCTCTAAAAAAATTATGATACGGTGGTCATGGATTATACTGAACTCTCAGATCTAATTTAATCACATTATATAATTTCACTTATGATATTTGCAATTAATATATTGAAATTCTTTTCCATATGGGAAGTGAATAGCATAAATATTCATAATGTTTGAGTTTTATTTATTCATTTTGAAATGGCACATATTATATTTCAGCACTGAACAACAGTTCTGTGTATATGCATATACTAACCCCAAGATGAAGTAAATTTGTTTTTTCTTATTGACAGCTAATATTTTAGGCTTTTTCAGATAAGTGGATAGATAGTGAAAGTGATTCCACTAACTATTTTTTTCTCATGAATGGTAAATTTTCCCCATAATTCTGCTCCACAGCTACCTGATTATGAACATGTTTAAACAAAGTAATCTGTAACAGTAATTACAGCTGATAATTAAGAATTTGGCTTGCTTGATTTACATGATTTTAGGTGGATGGTTTCTAAAAAAGGATATTTTTATTAAAATCAATCAGCATGAAGATTTTGTTTGCTCCAAGCAACAGTGTTAACAGTGTTACAGTCATACAGCAACATGCATGAGTGTAAATATACAGTATCTTCGCGTCATTAATTTTCTTGCTGTTTGTCATTTTAGCATCATAAATTAGATGTTCATTCTAATTAAGCAGTATTTATCACATCTGAATTAGCAGCATGTTACTTTCATCCCATTTTAGAAATGGCCTACAGATTTGCTTGTTTTACTTAGCATTCTTTCCATCACATCTGTACTCCATTAGTTTCAATTGGACAGTGCAGTTCTGTTGAATGTGTCTTTGCTTAGATTAAAATCAACTGCTTTATAGTCGTAGTGGTAGTAATTGTAAGCTATTTTGCACTCATCCGGGAATATTTTAAGATTGCCTTCTATGCTGCTAGTAGGCTTTAAAAAATACTAGTAGTCTGAAAGGAGAAACTTCATCAAGATTATAAAAACATAGTTTAGACTGCTTCATTTTCTACAGGCTATTCAGAGTTTTTTTGAAACTTGGCTGGTACTTAGTTTTCCTTTTGCTCTAGCTGCTGCTTTCTAGCTAAATAGAAAAGGCTCTGGTGAGGAAGACTTCAGTACTATATCCCATATTTAATGTGGCCCTTGGACTAAATCTTCCCCTTCCCCATTTTAAATAAATAAAGTAGATATCCTGGAGCAAGAATATATTGTTGCATCAAGATTAATATATTGTTTCATTTTCCAGTAAAGATTTAAATGCATACCTTCCCAATCTACAATTTCAATATTGTGTGCAGAAAATGAAAGTGAGTCAAGACCCACTAACCAGATATATTGATTATAAATGTATCACTTGGATACATGCAGTGGTGGGATTCAAATATGTGGACAACTGGTTCTCTGTGTGGATGCCCCTTCCAGAAGTCCATTCTGGGCCTGAGCAAAAAAAAATTAGCTACCGGTTCTGCCGAACTGGTGCAAACTGGCTGAATCCCACCACTGGATACATGTGTATAAGTGTCTCAAACTGTCTTTGCTGTTGAAAGTAGAACTGCTTAGAACAGGGGTCTTCAAACTTGGCCCTTTTATGACTTGTAGACTTCAACTCCCAGAATTCCTCAGCCAGCATGCCTGACTGAGGAATTCTGGGAGTTGAAGTCCACAAGTCATAAAAGGGCCAAGTTTGAAGACCCCTGGCCTAGAAAGATGTCTGAAGACTGCATTGTATTCTTTTCCATCCCCTTTGTCTTCCTTTGCATGAAATGTTGCAACAATTGGAATGTATTTATTACTCTGATGTGCTTCAGTGTAGTCAACATATGACTTTCTGATGCTGACAAACAATCTCCTTTATTTTCCAATAAGAAGGGCAAATCAGGTGAATGAAAGCCACCAAGAAGTATTTCTCTTTTAGCAGAGATCTAGGCCCTTCAGATGTTAATGGATGGTGTTTTCCTATGAATCTTAGCATGTGATTGGTAGGCAGATAGGTAGATTAGGACTGAGTACTGGAAATTCCTCCTTTGGAAAAAATGAAAAGAACTGTGGAACAAGAGACCCACTATAATTTCACAATTTAACAGTGTGAAATATCAGCATGATTCTGATGCAAGAAGGCTGATATTCAAACATCCATGACTTATTTCTACAGAATCAAATTATTCTCATTCTGCTTTAAATGAAATATCTTCAAAAATATATCTTTCAGCTCTGGCTCAATAATGACTGTTGGCTACAAGCAAATTTATATTTGGGTATTCACCAAGACTATGAACTTGAAGACCAGAGACCATATTGTTTCAGTGCTGTGGTTGGACATGGCAAGAGTCATTATTTCAACGTGGAACTGGGAAGTGAGCTGGCAATATGGGAGAAATCATTTCAAAGAGCAATCTTTTTGGAAGTTCAGAGAACAAGGGTAAGTGATAGAAAAAATATATCTGCCACTTGAATAAATGTTTAATGTATTTTGTGTATGTTCCATATTTAACTTTTGTATGAGTCCTGCCTATATGTGTGTGTGTGTATGGGGGGGAGATACATACACATTTAGACAAGGATTGGATTGTTCAAACTGAGTATTTAATACGTTCTGATGCCATATGACCATCTTCAATAGTAGGAAACTACTATTATCACAATTGCAGTGTATTATAAATTTGATAATGACAAATGAATTACCCAGTAGATGCTGTTCTGTTGATAGAAGACATCTGTCAATGGAATGAGATATTTTTCACTTGTTTTCCCTTTCTTCTGCCATCTCTTAGAGAAACTGCCTCTTCTTCAAAGCAGATGTTGCTTTTTGCAGAGGAACGGACATGCTTTCCAAATATGTTTGGAAAACTATTTGCAAGTAGACGGATAAAAACAAAAAATCAAAATACAAGTACTAAGATCATAAGTAAAACAATATTAAGAGTCAGTTTAGTATAGTGGTTAAAGTATCAGGTTAGAAACCAGGAGATTTTAAGTTGTAGTTGCTTTACATAGCGAAGCCGGGGGGGGGGGCTTGGGCCAGTCATTCTCTCTCAGCCCCAGGAAGCCAACAAGGGCAAACCACTTCAGAAATCTTGCCAAGAAAACTGCAGGGACTAATCCAGACAGTCACCATTGACTCAATGGCATACACAGAGAGAGACACACACAAACACAAAAAAGTAAAATAATAATAGGGCTCAAAGAATAACATACTTCAATGTTCTTTTTTTGTGAAAGTATTTCTTTAAAAAGCTCAGCTTTTTGGTAGAGAACAAAACCTACAACTCATTAATTAAGCCCAATGAGTTAACTCCGATTTTATGGGTCAGTTAAAAAACATTACTTCAGAGATTTACTGCACTTCAGTCTGGCAATTTTCATGTGGGAAATTCTTAATCTGAATTCCCATAGAAAATGACAAATCTATCCATAGCAATCTTGACTAAGGTACTCTTCTTCTATCTTCATTGTCACTTTGCTATAGTTGTTTTAGAATACTGTTATTGATCTCATTTTCAGGGCTTTTGCAAGCAATCTCCATAACTAAAAAAGCAGCTGGGTTTGTGTACACACACTCATACACACATACACTCATAAATATTTCTGAAATATTGATTCATTCTGAATGTCTATGGAGATTCTCAGTCATCCAGGTCATAGTTCTGAAGAAAAAGAATGTCACTACTTTTTTCAATTTTCCATTTTATTATGGTGGGTCGCAGAGTTAGTCAGATGATTAGACTTGATGTGGCATTTTTGTCCACTTATCAAGTCCTTGCTAAGGACCTGGGATAGGCAGATGTTGTTATTTAATAATATTTAAGGCATTGGATATAAAGCTGCCTTTTGCAATTGACTTATGGTGATTTTGTCAGTGGTGATGTTGTTCAAGTGGTGCTCTAGATGTTTTGGGAATTCACCCAAGGTATCTATTACGATTGGTACTATCTTTGCTTTATTTTGCCCAGTCATACTATTTGCAAGTCTTTGTATTTTGTGATTTTCTCTAGTTCTTTTTCTTCTCTTGTACTGTTTTGAAGTATTTCAATGTCCACTCTTAAACTATTATTAATGATTAAAACTATTTTTCTCAGTTTTCAACTTTATTATTATTAACCAAAAGACCCAAATTACAAATATATTTATATGTTTGGCCAATGGCAAAATAGTTTAACAGATAAAATAAATTGATAAATATTACATAAAACCTTTATTAATAAAGAGCTTGTTTAAGATCCATTGTAAAATTCACAACATAATAACACATGATCCATGGGTTCAAGGTCAATTACAGGGATAAAATCTTTTAGACATGGGAATCTTTTGAAAGTTACTATATAACATGTTTGACAATAAGAAAGAAGCTATTGTACATTTCTTTAAATCTAAACTGCTACAGTATATAGGGAGCCAAAAAGTATAATTGAAATTGCTTCTAAAGGTCAAGGCTGAACATGGAACTTTGGTGTTTCCCATTAACTCCTGCACTGAGTTGTCAAATAATATTTGTGTATTACAATAAAATTTCAGTGTCATGCTCTGGAAAACAAAGAATCAAGATTAATACCAGTTTGATCAATCTTTTGGGACACCAGTTTGAACTACATATCTACATAAAAATAATTTGGGATGTCAGGTAGCAATCATTCTTTGTTTTTGAAAAACTATCACGGAAACCAAAATATAATTGTACTTTGCCAGCCTTTTATTTTCACAGGGCATGGCCCAATTTCCACAAGAATATCAGAATTGGGAACATAACTTGGAACCTTTAAAAGAACTCTTAAGAACTTGCAATTGGGTTGTGTTATTGCTGGCAACAGTAATCCAAACTGAAGTTCCATAGAAGATTTAAGATGAGATTTTTGTGCATTAAAAACGTGTATTGCTACAGTAAAATAAAATCTCTACCGCCACGCCACCTCTTTTTATTAAAATATCAAAGCAAAACTATGACTGAGCATGACTGAATAAAGATTCTTGACTTATCATATGATGTTGAATTTTCCTGCTATACTTTTTGATTTTTTTTATCAAAAACCAAAAATCTAGTTTTAGCATGCTTGATTATCTTGCCAATATTTGACTACAGCCTCAAATTAATGTTTCAGTCTGGTATGTGAAATAAGAACAGTATCATCTGGAAATAATGAAGCACAAATTTTCCTTTTCTCTGATAATATTTTTTTTATTACATATGCTGCAATAATCTGAAAAAATGCAATTTGCAGACTGTGTTTGTGGTATCAGGTGGAGGAGAGTGGGGCTCAGGAAAGTATGATAAGCTTTGGCTAGCAGTAAAAAAAGAGTGCAGGAAATTGTGTGGGACAATTTTTCCACTCTAGAAGTTAGATATGGCATAATACCAAGGAACACAAAACTACAGTTTTTCTCATCTTTTCTAATCATTCATGTGGATGCAGTGCTCTACTGTGATACATCTTACACACTATACTTTGAATTCAATTCCTCTCCATAACGTGAAATCATCATTTGAAGGTGGTTTGCAAGCGACCTTGAGCAAGCATCTTAATTTTGATCACATGACCATTGGGATGCTGCAATGATCATAAGTGTGAAAAACTGTCATAAGTCATTTTTTCAGTGCCATTTCACTGCCATTGTAACCTCGAACGGCCACTAAACAACTACACATATACCTTCCCATACCTTCCTCCCCACCTGCCATCACCCGTTGGTCACTTAATTTCTGAAGATGTCCTTCTGGAAGCTCCAAAGATTGTGTTGAGGAAGGAGAGCAGGCCTCTCTACCCTTCAGCCTCCCTGTCAGCTACGTGGTTCTGTCCCCAGAAAAAGGCGCCATTTTGGGAGCAGCTGCAATGATGGGGGAAAGAAAGCCATGGTGGCTGCTGAGGCATATCTGCAGTTGGTCATAAGTGTAGGCAGATTGCCGAGCACCTAAATTTTGTTCACATAACTGTAGGGGCACTGCAGTGGCCATATCTTTGAAACCAGGCCATAAGTAGCTTTTAGTGGGTCTGCTGTAATTTTGAATAGCCACTAAGTGACCAGTCGCAAAGCAAGGACTACCTGTATCTATAAATCTGTATCACTGACAGCTATTTCTAAACCCTCTCTAACTCTCCCTTAGAATTAGGCAATGGTATTAATTATGTTTAGCTGATATCAACAAATAAAAGCTTAGAATCGTAAAGTTTAAACTCCTAAAGTTTAAAGTAAGATCTCCTAAAGTAAATCAAATTAAAAATATCAAATATGATCCTGCCTATAATTGATCTAATTCAGCATTCATTTTTTATGCAGTATGACTACTAGATGGTCATTTAATATCAGATCTTTATAGGGAAATCAAGCACACCCTGTTATATGATAATCACAATTGAACTCTTTGCATATTTAACTGTGAAGACATACTCTGAGATTTACCAAAATTGTTTTGATCATGTCAGTTAATCAATGTCACTATATCACACAACACTAAATTCTGCATAAGCTGATATCTTGTTATATCCTTGTCAAAATGTTGATGCTTCCAATTTTAAATTCATAATAGTGATAGCAAATGATAAATGCAGGCAAGGTTACATATTTTGCTTTTGGGGGAAAAGATATTTAACTATCTTCCTGGAAAAACCAAAGAAAATAAAACTGCGTAATAGGTTCTGTAAACTCAGTGAGATATGAATAGCAGTTAAATAAGACCAGATTTATGTGATCATTAGAAGATAATGATCTGTTTGTTCCTAGAAGAACAACTTTAATTACACAATTAAGGTTTAGATTGTTTTCATTATGCATAGGAGTGTATTACAAATTCAGGTTTCTCAATCATTTCTTTCTCCATTATGAAATCCAGTTTGCTTCCACTCTAATTTTAGAAGCCCCTAGTACTGTGAGTTACACAGTTGTAGCACACATCTTATGTTTCAAAATTTATTTGTTTGGTAATTTGCAATTTATTTGGATTTTTCATCAGTTACAAGATCAATAATACATTAAAATATATAGTGAGAATGGATGCAACACAAAATATTTCAGCTATATTGAAATGGAAAACAGGGCATTTTCTACCAATATCTAGAATATAACATGTAGGAATGATATAGTGTAATCAAAGAATTCCAAAACATATTAAGATTATGATTGTGTTCCAGTAAGTCAGTTTCAGCTCTTAGCAGTTACATACCATAGATTTTTTTTTGCAGGATGATCTAACCTGTACCAAGTCCTTCAGATCTTAAAATAGTGTAGTCTTCTCTGCTGTAAGCCCTTGTTGATGACAATTCTCTTTTTTTCCCCTTTCCTTTCACATTTCCCACTTCTTCAGAGAGCTAACTCTTCATATAATATGTCCAAAAACTTTGATATTTTGAACATTTGTGCCTCAAGTAAGATTTATTCTGTGATCCATTTGTCTGTTTTCTTGGCTATCCATGGTATTCTCAGGTGTCTTCT